ACTAGAAAGGAGAAACTTTAACTGATTTTTTTTTTAATAGACACATTGGCTATAACAATTGGCTGCAGGATAAGAGATTGTGATGGTAGTGCAGGACAGAACAAGGTTCAGATCTATTGTTCATAGGGTCACTATGAGTTATGGTCAACTCAGTGGCACCTAACATTTACTTCTAAGTTTTCCATTTTCTTTTCTTCTTTATAAAATATGCTGAATCTCTTTCTTTTCTATTGTAACAAAATATTCCTCCCCTAAAGGCAGTTCAGATCAAGGAAGCCAGCATTAAGTTGTTTATCACAAGGCCTGCACACACCCTATGGTAAGTAGCTGTAGCATTCAGCCAATCCAAGCAGCCCACAATGTTCCTCCTTAACAACATTTGTTTTTGTTATGTGCCATTGAGTCTCCTGTGATTCATAGCAACCCCATGCACAACAACTGTGAACCTTGCCCTGTCCTGAGCCGGTCTCATTGTTTCTGACAAACCTACCCCCTTTTCCTCAGGTACTGAGTCAATCCATCTCATCTGGGGTCTTCCTCTCCTGTGCTGTCTCTTCATCCTTCCAAACATGATGTTCCTCTCCAGGGACTGGTTCCTCCTGGCCACATGCCCAAAGTAGGTGAGACAGAGCTTTAAAATCCTTGCTTCCAACAGGCAGCCTGGTTTCACTCTCTCCAGAATAAACCTATTTGTTTTCTTGGCAGTCCATGATACGTTCAACACCCTTCTCCAGCACCACAACTTAAAGGTATCATCAGTTCTTCTGCCATTGTCCAGCTCTCGAATGCATAGCAAGTAATTGCAAAGGCCATAGCCTGAATCAGGCGCACCTTATGTCTCCAGCTTGATATTGTTGATCTTTAGCACTTTGGAGAAGTCTCTTACAGCTGTTTTCCCCAGAGCAATTAGTCTTTTAATTTCCTGACTGCTGGTGCCAAGGATTGTGGATCTGAGCAAACTGAAATTATTAATAACCTCAATCTCTTCTCTATCATGGTGCTGCCAATTGGCCTAGTGGTAAGAATCTTTGTCTTCTTGATGTTGAGCTTTAATCCTTGATTTTCTGCAGCAAACATTTTGGGTTCTTCTCAGTTTCAGCGACAAGGTTGTGTCATCTATATAACATAGGTTATGATGAGTCTTCCTCCAATCCAGATGCCACATTCCTCCTCATGAAGTCCAGCCTCATCAGTGATCTGTTCCACATATAGATTGAAAAGCTATGGAGATAGGACATATCCCTGAGCACTCCTTTCCTGATTTTGAATCATGTAGTCTTTCCTTGCTCTATTCTGAGGACTGCTTCCTGAGTATAGGTTTTGCATAAGCACAATCAATCCCATTTTTTCTCAAGGTTAGCTATAATTTGTTGTGATCCACATAGTCAAATAAATACCTTTTCATAGTCAATGAAATACAGATAAACATTCCTCTGGTACTCTTTGCTTTCTAACAAGATCTATCTGACATTGGTGATAATGGCCCTGATGCCCCAGCCTCTTCTAAGGCTGACCTGTATCTCTGATAGTTCTCTGTTGATGTACTGTTCCAGTTGTTTTTTTCTTTAATCTTCAGCAAGACTTTGCTTGTGTGTGGTGTCAGTGATAATTGTTTGATAACTTCCACACTCTGTCGGATCACTTTTTTTTTTTGGAATGGGAACTAATATGGTCTCTTCCAGTCACGTCCAGGGCCGTGTCTGTTGACTTCCTGTTTTAAGTGACCTGCAATAGCTTTCAGGTGCCATGTGTGTGCAGAGAGAGACTCTCTAAGCTTGCAGAGAATACAACCATGAAAAAATCTACAGTGAAATCCCCACAATGATGAGCTGTGACGAGTACTTAAAATAGACAGGCCCCATCTTAAAGACCAGTTGCATGAGCCTGATTTTCTTTTTTTTATTATTATTATTTTGTGTGAGTGTACCGGCAGAGCATCTGGTGGATTCAAACTGTTCACCTCTGGGATTGTAGTTGCAGCTCCTTGCCACTAGGCCACCAGAGCTCCCCAAGCCTGATTTTCTTAAGAGCTCCTTTCCTTTCCCTCCTGAAAATACGAAATAAACATGAGCTCAGTCCTTAACCTAACCTACAAATATTCCCTCAAAACGTTCCCCTGGTGAGGTGGCATTTTTCAAAGGCAGTAGACTCTGTCGCTTTTTTATTTGCTGCAAGTTAAAATAAATTTACTTATCCACACACCTAAATAATTCTTTACTATGAAACAAGGATCCTTTGGGTCTCCATAACTGATTTGGTTTTTGTTTGTCCTGTTTATGTCTTAATATAAGGATCTCTGTAGAATATTGTTAGGGTCAGTCAGAAATAATTAGAGGCTGGAAGTTGGGAATGTTAAAAACAAGGATCTAACATTACCTAGTCAATGTAAGGGAGCGCAGGAGGCCTGAGAAAGAGGCCGGAAATGGAAAAATGACACTGGCTGGCTCGACCAACCAGCGTTTGTTAAGTATAGATCCACCGAGCAGGAACCAATGGAATCTCACCAAAGGGCCGGTCTCAGGAGACTTGCGGCAAGACCAGGAAGTTTTCGCCAGGCTTCACGCTTGTAAGAGAAGCGGAGAAAGTGGAGTGGCGTTCCCCTTTATCTCAAGGTGATGGTGGTGGGGGCCTGGGAGGTGGGGGCGTGTGAAGGTGGTGTACTCTGTGTTCCTCTTTTTCTTGTCTTTAATCGTCTTTCTGCCAGCACTGCAATACTCTACCTTCGCTAACGAATCGGGCTTGGAAGCCTCTTAGAACCCTGACGGGGTACCCTGGGCTTTAGTAAACTTTTCCTTGTTGGCCAACAGCTGCACTTGCTACTTAATCCTATTGTGGTCACCCCATTAGCATCCTCGCGCAGATCTACCTAGTGCTTCCCCGCGGACAACGGATTCCGGCAGAGAAGAGGGACCCACGTCTCTAGCACGTGTCAAATGTGTTTGAGTCTGTTATGTGCCATTGAATTATAAGTGACTCCTAACTGACCATCCAGCGGGTTTTCAGAGGCTGTAAATTGTACAGAGGAACAGCTGAGGGATTAAAACTGTGAATTGCCAGTGCGACTTCTTACCCTTTAGGCCACCAGAACTCCCTTTTTGTTTCTTGAATGGGTGCTTGAAGTTCCAGTCAGAATAGAGGATTCTTCAAATCAAAGCGTATGTTTGTCTTCATTGACTTGTTAGGTCCCATTGTGTCAACTAGGACTCACAGCAACCCTATGAACAACAGATCTAAACCTTGCCCTATTCTGTGCCATCCTCGCTGTTGCTGATATACCCTAGGCCATTGTTACAGATGCTGTGTCAGCCTATCTTGTTGAAGGTCTTTCTCTGACCCTCCAGAAAGTTGATAGGGACAGACAATGAGGGAGTAAAGACATGCTGGCTTACATGGTATTGTGAGCGTGCTTATACTTAAGAATCTCGCTGAAAAGATTTCCCTCTTTACCATGGCTCTAGGGAAAAGAAAACTCAATCCACTGCCATTGAGTTGATTCCAATTCATAGTCACCGCGTGAGTTCCCAAGGCTGTAAATCTTAGTGAGAGAAGAATGCCCATCTTTCTTCCTAGGGACTACTCCTCCGAACTCCTAGGCAAGAGAAGGTGGGAGAAGAGGCTGATGATGATATAATCCATTTATAAGTGATATTATCAGGGTTAGTTATGATTATAAAAATTGTGGAGGCTGTAACTATGAAAAAAATGGACTGAGAGGCACTGCCGAATTGAAATAGAATGATCAAACCTAAAGTCCCTTAAAAGATTTACTATGTCTTTTGCCCATTTTTTAATTGTGTTCTCAGTCTTTTTCTTATAGAGGCTCAGGAGTATTCAGTATTCTTTTGTTATGAGATCCTTGTCTGAGATGGTATTGCCAAATGTTTGTTCCCAGTCAGTAGGCTTTCTTTTCACCCTGTTGGAAAAAGTTTTTGATGCACACAGGGATATAATCTTTAGAAGATCCCATTCATCAAATTTATCCTTTTCAGATTGTGCATTTCTGGCTGAATTTAGCAGTCTTTATATTATACCAAAGCCTAGGCCTTCTAAGCTTGATCCTACTTTGTCATCTATGAACTTTATGGTTTTGGGCTTAGATCAGGTCTCTGATCCACCTTGAGTTGAGTTTTGTTTATGGTGTGAGATGTGGATCCTGTTTCAGCTTTCTGCAGGTAAGCAGTCCAGTTTTGTCAGCACCATTTGTTGAAGAGGTTGTCCTTTCCTCATTTGATAGGTTTTATTTCCTTGTTGAATATCAGTTGTCCATTGATAGCTGTTTCTATTTCTGGGTTCTCTATTCCGTTGGTCTGTGTGCCTGTCATTGTACTAGTACTGTGTTGTTTTGGTTACTACCGTTGTGTAGTAGGTTTTGAGTTCTAGGAGTGCTATGCCTTTCACTTCATTTTAATACTGCATAAGATCATGATTGTAAAAATAGAAGGATAACTAGTAAAATATGTATGGGGATCTCAGGGGGAAGTGGGTGGGAGCAGAGGGTTAAGGATAAGTAGGGGCGGAATCAGAGTTGCACAATTTGCTGAGTGAAGGGAGAAGGTAAAGGAAATGGGAAAGATCCAGTGGGAACCTGAAAAGACAGGGTAATGGTGAGAATAGACCAGTGGTGATTAATTTTCTAAAACAATGCATGGGAATGATTGTATGAAGCACACACAATGTGAATGAAGAATAGTGTGAAACACAATGTATACGAACTTTGTAAACAAACCAATACAAAAGAATATTTTTTCAAAAATAATTAAAAAGAGGTACGTTCAGGTCCGGTCCAGGCAGCACTGGATCCTCAGTAAACCATACTGCCAACCACATAGTGCTGCATTAGCTTTTAAGCTTTCATAATGGGGATTCAAGTCAGCTGAGGCACAAACTGAAACTTTACTATTTCTCTGCCTTTTGCACTCTCACAGAGGCTAGGGCCAGTAACAGACTCTTTTCTTGCTCTGGAAGCTGTTTCCTGTTCACAGGTCCCTGAAAAGAGAGATATGGGACGGTCATCAAAGGACAAGCGCGATGTCTACTACCGCCTGGCCAAGGAGAATGGCTGGCGCGCACGCAGTGCATTCAAGCTGTTACAGCTCGATGAAGAATTCCAGCTCTTCCAAGGTGTGATGCGGGCCGTTGACCTATGTGCAGCCCCAGGCAGCTGGAGCCAGGTTCTGAGCCAAAAGATTGGGGGTGGGCATGTAGTGGCTGTGGACCTGCAGGCTATGGCTCCGCTGCCTGGTGTATTACAGATCCAGGGGGACATCACCCAGCTGTCCACTGCCAGGGAAATCATTCAGCACTTTGAGGGCTGCCCTGCGGACCTGGTGGTGTGTGATGGGGCTCCTGATGTCACTGGCCTCCATGATGTTGATGAGTACATGCAGGCCCAGCTCCTCCTAGCTGCTCTGAACATTGCTACACATGTTTTGAAACCAGGGGGCTGCTTTGTGGCCAAGATATTCCGGGGCCGTGATGTGACATTACTGTACAGCCAGCTACGGGTCTTCTTCTCCAGTGTGGTATGTGCCAAGCCCAGGAGTAGCCGTAACTCTAGTATTGAAGCCTTTGCTGTCTGTCAGGGTTATGACCCTCCTGAGGGCTTCACAGCAGACCTGACCAAACCCCTACTGGACCACACTTATGACTCAGATTTCAATCAACTCGATGGTCCGGCCCGCGTCATTGTGCCATTTGTGACCTGTGGGGACCTGAGTGCCTATGATTCTGACCGCAGCTATCCACTGGATCTAGAGGATGGCTCAGAATACAAATATACTTCACCCACACAGCCTCCCATCTCTCCGCCATACAAAGAGGCCTGCACACTGAAGAAGAAGGGGAAGCTGGCCAAGGAGATTCGCTCCCAAGAGACTCCTATCAGCACTGTGGATGTGCTGTCCCAACCCCTGGCTATCCCACCACAACATACCCTGCATTCCTTTGAAGGGGAAGACAGTCATATGAATTGTTCACCTTAACATTTTAAGCTGATTCAGCTCAGATTCTGTTCACTATCAGGAGAACCTGAACTTGTATGGATGTACTTCACATATCATCATTGTCATCAACAGGGCCTGAACATACAAGTCCCAAATGAGACTCTGCATCAACTACATAAACAACAAAGAAACATTGCAGAATGTCTGTCTGCACTGCAGGGGAATTCCAGAATGAGGTCTTTCGTTTTTAGGCAGACATTTTTGTGTGTGTGTGTGTGTGAGTGTACAGTCAAATCAGATCTGACTGGTACAGGAGGAAATTGTCCCTCCTTCCCCGGCAGAGCATCTGGTGGATTCGAACCGTGTGCCTCTGGGATTGTAGTTGCAGGTCCTTGCCACTAGGCCACCAGAGCTCCCCTGGGCAGACATTTTTAAGATGTCCTATTTACATCCAGAATTTACTCCCAAAACAAGTTCTTAACCAGGATAGAAGTCAGGGGTTACCATGAATTTGATAGAGAAAATATTGCATCTCTATTTTCAGTAATACAACTGAAATTTTGTTTCTCTTTTTATTGTGAATACTGAGAATAAGTAACAGTAATAAAAGCAGTACCTGCAACTTACCAATACAAATTAGTTATTATTTTGTGTGACATTCCAGTTGTTACAGGTATTTTGTACTGTTCTTCATATCTATTACTACTTTGAATCATGGTAGATTTTGTTATTTGGTGTACTAATAAAGGAGCCCATCCATATAGTACTATAAAAAAAAAAATAAAAGTAAGTGAGAATCTAAAAAAAAAAAAAAGTTGTATTATGTTACTATCTCCTAAAACTCAGAGCAAAGAGAGATAATCTTTTCTTAGTTAAACTTTTCAGCTGTCCAAACGATGAAGATTGAGATAAGGTTTGAAAAACCTGACCAATCAGATGTAGCAGATCTGAGTGACCTCACCCTGAATATTATTTTTCCCTGTGGAAGTAATAATTGTTAATGACTGTATAAACTGGTAAATGAATTGGAAGTTATGTACCAAATATGCCTGGAAAATCCAGACAGTGACCTTGGGCTCTTCTCAACATGATCTTACAGAGTGGTGTGTGTGAGACTATACAAGAAAAGTGCTTATAGCCCATTAAAGGAACTGTACCGCTTGTGAAGAATGTAAATAAGATGCATGGGTGGGGTGGGGGTATGCAAAATAAAGGTATAAAGAACCCTAATGAAGAGATTGGTGAGTTTAATCAATCCTCTAAAAACGTCCTTTCCAAAGTTTTTGTTTTGTGCTGTTGAGTCGAGTACGACTCACAGCAGTGTTGTGAACAGCAGCTCTGAAGCCTGGCTTATCTTGCCGGCCTTTATCGTCTGTGACATACTGGCCCCCTTGCTGTGGGTACTGTGTCAGTACATCTCGCTGACAATTTTCCTCTCTTGCATCAGCAGCTTTCCAAGCATGTTATCCCTTTCCAAGGAATAGCCCCTCCTAACAACATATCCAGAGTTTGTGAGACAAAACTTCACTATCCTTCCCTCTAAGGAGCACTGGCTGCACCTTCTCCAGCACATTCTGATTTGTACTCTTCTCCAACACCACAACTCAAAGGCAGTGATTCTTCTCTGTCATCTTTTTCAGTTTCCAACTCCCAGACATATAGCAAGTGATTGAAACGACCATGGCTTGAATCAGGTGTTTTAGTAATCATTAAATGACATCATTGCTTCCCAGTACTTCTTCAGAGAGGTCATTTACAGTAGACTTTCCCAATGCAATATGTCTTTCTGATTTCTTGAACACTGGTGCCAAGGATGTTGATTGTAGACCCTAACAAGATGAAATTATTGACAATTTCAATCTTTTCTTCATCTGTCATGATGTTGTATATTGGCCCACAGCTGAGGATTTTTTTTCCTTCATATTAAGTTGTAATCCATATTGAAAGTTATAGTCTTTGTTCTTTTGCAGCAAGCTTACCTGGGTCCTTTCCCCAGCTTTTGCTTTACTCTGCTGCCACCTTGCTTAGGGAGAATGAAGGCTGCCTGTGAGCCCAAACCACAAGTGGTCCAGACCTTGTACTACCACTTTGCTGAAGGATCATGCACCATGGTCTGCAGCCTGCACCATGATATCTGTATGTTTGGTAGCTTAGTTGTAAAGAATTGTACTGCCAACACAAAGGTAAGTGTTTCAAATCCACCAGCTGCTATGTGAGAGATGGATACTCTCCTCTCATGTGATTTATTGCCTCTGAAAACCCACTGGAGAGTCAGCTATGGGTCAGTTCCCACTCAGTGGTACACAATAACAACAGCAACAGAGTGTGTTCTTAGGGGCATAATCCTTTATCTGTCAGTTGTATGGGAGAGTGTGATTTACATATTGTTGCTCTTAAAAGCTTAAATAGGTACAGGTTTGCTTGTTTGTCACCTACTCTTAGTGTAATGCTTGAATGTTAGATGGTGTACTAACGTGGAGCTCTCAGATTAATACAGATTAGGAAGAAGGATTGGCCAGCCACTTCTGAAATAACAGGCCTTAGAAAACCCTGTGAACAAGAAATCCCAGACTAAAGGGGGACTTTATGACCACCAAGAAGAGATGAGAATAGAGGACGTTCTTTAGATTCAGGGAACCCTGCACTGAGAACTTCTTGGGCCCAAGAGATAAGGATAGAGACCTGTAACACTGGTGGTGGTTGTTAGGTGCCATCGATCCAAGTACTACTCAGCAACCCTATGAACAACAGACCTGAACCCCATCCTATCCTTTGTCCTCACAAATCTGACAGTCCTCACAGTCTTTACCCTTTAACCTCACAATCTGACACACATGAGCTCATTGCTGCAATCACTGTGTCAATCCTCCTGGTTGAAGGTTTTCTCTTTTGCTATCCCTTCACCTTTCCACACATGATCTCTCTTTAAGGAAAGCCCTCTCATAGCAACATGCCCGAGTATGTGAGACAAAGCTTCATCATTTTTGCCTTCAAGGAGCACTCTAGCTGCACCTTCTCCAATACATATCTCTTCTTTTTATAGGCCTTGGGATGTTCCTCACTCTTCTCCAACACCACATTTCAAAGATATCAATTATGTTTTTCACGGTCCTGATCTTGGCGGCATATGAAGTAAATGAAAGATCATGGTCTGAATCAAGAACACCTTAGTCCTCAAACTCACATCATTGCTCTGCAATAATTTGGAGAGGCCCTTGACTGCAGACTTTTCCAGTGCAATATGTATCCTGATCTCTTGATAGCTGATACTAGGTGTATTGGTTATGAGTCCAAGTAAGATGAAGTTGTTGTCAATCTTTTCTCCGTCAATTGTGATGTTGCCTGTTGGTCCAATGGTGAGAATTTTTGTTTACTTGATGTTGAGCTATAATCCATATTGAAAGCTACAGTGTTTGATTTTCTGCAGCAAGTGATTCAAGTTCTCACTGTCAGCAAACAGGATTATGTCATCTGCATACTGAAGTTCTTCCTCCATCCTGATGCCACATTCTTCTTCATAGAGTCCAGCTTCTCAAATAATTGTTCAGTGTACAGACTGAATAGGTATGGAGAGAAGATACAATCCTAACATAAATTTCTTAATTTAAAACCATGTAGTGTTTCCTTGGTGCATTGTGTTATAATATTATACTTTATCTTCTTGAACTACCTTTTGAGATCTGTCCAGTGTTTTATTTTGGCATTTCTTCCTTTTGTTTTGGCTTCTCAACTCTTTAATACAATTTTTGATGTCTCTTTTGACATCCATATTTGTTTTTCTTTTCCTTCTTTGTAATGAACTTTTGCTCTCTTCACGGGTGTTATCTTTGATGTTCTCCTGAAGTTCCTTTGATTTTCAGTTATTGGTGTTCAATGTCCCAAACATGTTCAGGAGATAATTTCTTAAATTCAACTGGAATATTTCTAATTCATCAAGGATATTTAATGCAGTAGGTAGTCTTTGAAATCACCTTAGGTTATAGGCTGAATTGTGTGCCCCAAATAAGTGTATTTTAAATCTTTTAACTAAAAGGAAAAAAATAAACTTGGATAGATTCAAGATCATATTTTGGTTCCTATGGACTAGTTTTCATATTCTTCAGTATGAACTTGCACTCAAATGATTCTGGTCTCTTCCACCATTGGTACCTGATCTGGTTTAATCGTGGATATCACACTTCTCCAGTGATTCTTTCCATAAGTATAGACAATCTGACTCCTATGCAACCCATCAGGTGAGGTCCATGTGTAAACCCACATTTTTTGTGTTTTTTTAAAAAAGATATTTGATATGAATAAATCATTGAGCACACAAAGCTCAGTCATTCAATCTCCATCCTCATTTTTATTTACCAAGTCCATACTTCCTGACTACCATTTCTTCTTCATTGTTTCCAACTTTTGTGTTCTAGTCACCAATAACTATTAATGTATCTTGAGTGTGTGTTTGGTCAATTTTGAACTGAAATAGTTGTTCTTGGTGGTAGTTGTTATGTGCCATCAAGTCACCTTCTGTACAACAACTCTGAAGCCTGTCCTATCCTGAGCCAGTCTCCAATTTTGACACACCTACTCCCATTATCCCAGTTACAGTTATCCATCTTATCAGGGGCTTCCTCTCCCTCGATGTCCCTCTACTCATCTGTGCATGATGTCCTTCTCCAAGGACTGGTTTCTCCTGGCCACATACCCCAAGTATGTGAGATTGAGCTTCAAAATCCTAGCCTCCAAAAAGAAACTTGGCTTTATCCTTTCCAAGACAGACCTGTTTGTTCTCTTGGAAGTCCATGGTATGTTCAATACTCTTCTCTAGCACCAGAACACAAAGGCATTGATTCTTCTGTCATTCTAGTCATTGTCCACCTCTCTGCTGCATAGCAAGCAACTGCAAAGAGCAAGGCCTGAATCAGGCACATTTTAGTCTCTAGACTGACGTTGTTGTTCTTCAGTACTCTGGAGATGTCCCTAATTGCAGATTTTCGTATTTTGATTTCCTGACTGCTAGTACCAAGAGTACTGATTGTGGAGCTGAGCAAGCT